TAGTGCAACATGCCTGCATTCGCCTATCGTACTCCTTTGGATCGAATTCACCTTCTATGTCATCGATGCTGATTGGAATATCATCTCCGGCCATTTTCTTGAGCTTCTCTAACTTCTTTTCTATTTCTGCTTTCTTCATCTTCTTTAGCTCTTTGATTTCCTAAAAACGATCACTTGTAACAAAGTGAAAATAAGAACAGCTGATAAACACCTGTCTTCGCTCTTGTTTCTCCCTCTCTTTTCTTTCTTTATATTCTTCCCTCTTCTCCTTTCTCTTGGAATTCGTCTTCCTTATGGATTCGCCAATTGTTCTTGGGTACTGCTTGATCTGAAAACACGATCGTACATTTTGATATTTCTCGAATCATAACTACTTACGAACTCCTGATCTGGATCCTCAAAACGAAAATTATACTTCTGTTCAAAGTCACGTTGCCTATCTAGATCTTTTTCGTCCTCTTCAACCTCGCGCAAATCGTCGAGAGTCACGCCGCTCAAAAAAATTACAGTATAAAAACAAATAGAGATGATTTGCTAACTCAACTACGAGAAAAACAGATACAATCATGGAAAACTTACTGCTCTTCAATTTCAGGAATAAAATCCTTGTTGACTAGGTAATCCCGCAAGAATCTCTCGTTTTCATCGATATTTGGATCTCTCCATGCTTCTTTAAGGCCCTTGAGATCATCTCCCTCTCCAATCTCATCGTTTTCACGGTCCTTCAGCCACGAGTAAAAATCTTCATCTTCTTTAGCCTGAACAGATCTCAGACTGAGAGTGTGAATCAACAAATTAAAATAAAAAACTCGACGCTCGCCTTCTCCTCATTAGTCTTTTTCTTTGGAAGCAAGAGATCATCGTCATCATCCTCGTCGTTATCATGTTTCTCCACTTCTTTTCGAAGCCTAAAATAGAATTAAAAACGATCGATAAGGAAATCATTGGTGGAAAAAGCTAGGAGCAACTGATAAAAAAAACTGCGCTGTATTAATATCAAGGCCACTGACTAGAGTGACTAGAGACCGCCACTACGCAAATAAAATATACAAAACACATAGAAAATAGATAAAAACGAAACAAAACCCAAAACTGACATAAAAGTAGTAAAAATAGTGAAAATGAAACATAAACATGTAAAAAAAA